GCTGCGACACTGAGGGCCTTAGGTCTTGTTCAGGGATTTTGCCGTTGAGGGATGTAGAGACATCCTCTTGACGTGGCCTGCAATGTAGTGCTATGCAATGCTCAGGTGCTCACATACAGCAGGCCCCAGCCGGCTGAGTTACCCCGCACGTGTGTAGATAGAGGGACCGACCGTGCTGGGGCCGGGCACGCTTCCTGCAGACATGTACAGAGTACTGGCATGGCCATAAACGTCACAGTCCTTCCCCGCGGCCGCAACATCTTGAGATATCTTGAGAGACTCAGACAATGCGAAACCAACGTAGTGTAAGCTGCACAAGCTGGGCGCCAGGACATGACGGTGTCGTGACGCTGCTGTTGCAGAGTGCTGCCAGTCCTGATTACCGCTACTCGAGCCTCAGACTGTGCTAAAACTGCCAAGAATAACTCAGCAAGTGCGAGAAGCATAAGATGACATTGCTTGCGTTGGAGATTCAGGAACGGAAAGACGGCGCTCATGGGAGCAGCTGCACTAGCGTGCCTTGAATGATAAAGTGCAGGGGGTCTGACAGGTTGCACAACAAGTTGAATTCAGTCCAAGGCATACAGCTGTGGTCGTTGCGCTGCTGGCGCATCGGGCAGATGTCAATGCTCAGTCCACCGGCAACCAGACGCCCCTTTTGCTGCCTGGCCTTTTGAAGAGGAAGATGTGTGTTGTCGTTGGTTCCAGGCAGTTCATGGAAGAGTGCGGCACATGTGGCATCTGAGCAAGCAGCAAGCACGTATTGCTTGCATGGTGTCCAGACCACTTTTCAGGTATGCTGTGGAGACTGGCCTCAAGGACAGACCTTGGCAACTCTGAAGCTCCCTTCATGCAACTGTCCATGATGGTTTTGTCAGCATGCCTGCAGCAGTCGAATTATAGAACACCACGTAAGCTATGCCTCATTTCGCGCCCTGACTTGATTGAGCCAATCCACGGTCTGTCATCAGGATGGCTTGGTTTGCCCTGTTCCTGGCGAGGTGCACAAGCCCGGGGCAGAGGCCCATTCCACTCCTAACGTGCACAAAGGGAGTACTGCATTGTGGTTTTGGGAACAAGTTTTACATGAGCTTGATGGCACTGAACTGACAGCTTGCGGAAGGCCAGGGCAGGCTCTAGAATCCTTTACATCCTGCGCCGTGTTTTGAAGCAGCTCGTGGGGGAGAACCTGCAAATGATGCTCAGGCGACCACACAGGCGCTTCTGAGTGCCGAGCCTTTGCAGCAATTGTCATAGCTTGCAATTTACCAAAAACACAGCAGAAAAGAAATGAGTGTCAAGGCCGCAGATCCAGATTTGGCAGGCCCAAGGTGCCTCGCAATACATCCCGCGCAGAGCTTTGCTTGCAATCTAAAGCTCATCAGCAGGCAGCGGACAGCCTTGCACATCAGTGCGGCTTACGGCAGTGTAAAGCTGGCGGCCTTGCTTCTGACAGCTGGAGCTTCCCTGGATGCCATGGACGAGGCTTAGTGGGAAACATGGAGAGCGAAGTCTACACTAGCGGACAGCTGAATGCCTACTACCGGTTGACTTCTGCTATGCTGAAGACATAGGAAGCATGATAGCAATAGGAATCAACAGTAGTCATGTAAGTCATGTTACAAGAAAACGCTTACAGGGCTCATCGAATGTGAGTTCTCAGGATGCATGTCGTTTGGGCTACAGGATGGCCGACGTCCGATGGATGGTGCCCGGCCAGAGTTTCGGGAAGCGGTGCAGGCTGCGTCGGGAAGCAAAGGCCAGGTAGCTCTTGGCCGAAAACCTCGCTGGGTCCAGTTCATGCAAAGCAGGGTCTTGTGACTCCAGGTGCAGGCAAGCCATTGTTGCCAAGTCCTCAGGCTGTCAAGTTCTTTTGTGTATCTGTAGATAGTGGAAGTGGCCCAGGCAGAGACTTGGCGATCTTTGTCTGCTATGTTGTCCTGGTGCGTGAAAGCTGGGACCAGAGTGTCAGTCCACTCAATCTGAAAGGGCAGCGCCTTCTCTGATGTTTTGCTACTCACGAATGGCTTGAGTATTGTTTGTTGTGGACAGGTTCCAGATGATGAGAGATAGCTGCAGCCAGCCATTTTGTGGGTTGTTGCAGGTCTGCGACGGCTAGCGCGCTCTGAGAAAGTCCTGAGAACGACCTCAAGTCATGGTGCACTGCGTTAAACTCAGCATCCGGAGAAAGGGGGCGGGGGGCGGCGGCATGGATGCAGCTGCAAATCTCTGCGTCTGCACGGTCAGTCCATGGTCATTTTAGCTCAAGTGCTCCAAGCTTTTTGTCTCTGGGCGTGGTCAGCAAGATCATGAATGCAGCAAGCGGAGTGACTCAGTGTGGATTTCACAGAAAAGTCAAGCAGCCATCAGTGCAATGACAGGGTTCTGATCCAGCTTGAAAGGGCCAGGAGGCAGGGTGTTTTTTTGTCCTCCCATACGCAGAAGGTGTTTTATGCACCTGCACAGGCTTGGATCTTGCAGCCCATACATGTTGTTCTTCTGTTTTGGTGGGGTTGGAGGCTAAAGCAAACAGGGTTGGTAATAGGAATGGGTAGCGGAAGCCTGTGAAATTCCGCCCAACTGAAATGCCGACTCCGTTCATGGTGGATTCCTTCAGCAGATGGCAGGGGACAAGATCCCATGTGAGTTTTGCAGACCTTGGCGCACTTCCTGCAGGTGCCAAGTCAGCAGGAGAGGCCAAGCCAGGAGCAGGCCACGACCCTGGAGGTGTGCAGTCTATGAACGCACAGAAGCAAAAGGAGGTCTTGGAAAAGGTTAAAGAAGCCGAAAGTACTGCTGGAATGAGCGTCAACAAGCAAGGCACAAATGCACTAATGGGACCGGACGGCTACGACCAGCGCCTTGTGGATCCGGCGCTGAGATGGTGCCTACCCGCTAGGCCTGTGCCAGCTGTGGCAGGGCGCAAGGGGAAAATGGCCTCAATGTCCATCAAGGTTCCACTTTGTAGTCGTAGAATCCCGGACTCCGAGTGCAACTTGGCGATGATTGATGGTGAGCTGAAGGTGGATGAGGCCAACCTGGACCTCTCTCCACCGGCCTTCACGGGCTGCAAACACCCAATGCTGAAGGAGGAGCTGAAGCCTGGAGCTGCAAAGAAAGTCAAGGGCTTCCTCTTCAAGTGCAACGCGCCTACGCCGAATCCGCCTGAGGCGGACAGGGAGGCGAACCCTGGTGAGATGACCGACCAGCAAGAGGCCGAGGCGGAAGAGAAGGAGGAGGCCGAGATGGCCATGGAAGGCATGGACGCAATCTGGGCGCTGGCGATTCCGGCACTGGTCGCCGCACGTGTGCTCCAGGCAGAGAAGGTTCTCCAGCTGAGGCCCAATCCTCAACGGGCGACCAGGCACCGTTCCGGCGGAGTGTTCTTGTGAGACAGGCCTAGAAGACCTTGCCTGTCGACGAACAATTGCGCCATTTCGGATCCCAAAGATGGACCTGGTTTCTGGGATTCCTGTATGCCTCGTGCGTGTTTGCAGGGTGACTGAACAGGTAGCAAAAGAAGCTGGTTCTTCTTTGCATTGGAGCGGCTTCGGAGTGTTCTGGTGACGGCAATATTAATGCTGATTTCATTCGGCTTTGTTTTTTGTATTCTGGTAGGCTTTAATTTGGATTGTGGCTCCCTGATACTGCGTTTGCTCCTCAAGCCGGCCATGGGGGAGCCAGATGCATCCCAGGCCACCTGTGCAGCTTGCAACTGCTTCCTGCGGCCTGGATTGTAGAAACATGATGGCGACAGTGTTATCTTCACAAGGCATATATCAATCCATGATAACCACCATGAGTGACGCTTTGACTAGCATGCCCCTTTCTGTCTCCACCTCCCTCTCGTCCTCCTCCAGGCGTGGCTCCTGAGCCATGTCGTGTGAAGGGCCAAAGGCTGGTGCCAAGCTGCGTAGCACGAAGTCAAAATAAGCAGGGGTTTCCAATGCCGCATGTGATGCTTTAGAGGTCCGTATCTCTTGGAAGTGACCTAGCAGAAGCGGTTAGGTACACTGGTGGTATCATAATAGCATAGTGGTGAATCGTAATGAGGACAGGCAGTACAAACAAAGGAAGTGACACATGCACACACGCACACGCACCTCCCGGCACGTGTTGTTGTCGGCGGCCTTCATTTGCAGTGGAAGTTCTAGCAGTGGCAATAGCGAGTTCTCAGCCTGGCAGGTCAATTTCTCGGTATGGCATCAACCATCATACTTGTTTCAATAGAAATATGTATACAGCGGCCAAAATATATCACTTACCTGGATAGGCCTCTAGGCCTCTAGGCCACCGTTCTCAGCGCGCCTGGCAATTGCAGTCTGTCAAACAGGCATGCGCCTCCACGTCGTACAAACGTCGGGCATTCCGCCCGACAGCATCGTGTCAGCCGGCAACTTACTACGAGCCGTGCTGAGTGTAGACAACCCTCTCCGCCAGTTGCTCTGTCAAGTCAACACAAATGCAAACAGCTTTGACAGTCAAATGAGTTCCCGAGACAGCCTGACACTTGAATGTATTGCTCTTATTGTCAACTACTTGGTCTTCTGACCAGTGCGAACGGTTGCATGGTTACTGTGATTTGTTTATGTGCTTCCTCGCCTTGGTATCGCTGCTGTGGCCTCCCCTGCTCAGCTAGTAGGTGAAGTCTGGCAGCTCACGGAGGCAGCAACCGCTGCCATGCCAGGCAGGGCCACCAGTTCTGTCATTTGCACGGTAAGGTGGTGTGTTTGGAGACAATGCAAGACATAGTTCGACTCGGCGGAAGGGTTGTACACAGGTCAGGTGTGCAGGCTTGAACAGTGGCAAAATAATACTGCAAGCAGTGGTATTTATCGCGAGTCGCTCCTTGAATAAACAGGAGAAGCACATCTGCTGACATGCATGGCCAGAAGCGGAAGACCGATAGTGTCAAAGCTATCAACAGCCATTAAGGCACCGTTCAAGCTGGACCAGCCGCGTGAAGCTCGTAAGGGAATTACTATATCTACCAGTCGCTGCCCTAAGCTTAGCTGCAGGCCAGTGCCGGTCCACTTGGAGGTGCTCAGCTATGCTGCCAGAGGGCAGGAGGCACTGTTGAAGATTTGCAGAGGCTTTACGAGATTTATGATGCTGCTCTGCGCATTGTGCAGGTGCGCCTGCCCGCTCCCACTCAGGAGCTTCTGAAGGCGCTGGCTGCTCTTCGTGATTAGCCACAGCTGTGCCCACGCATTGAAATCTTGTCTGCAGGTCCCACTGACCAGCAAACAAGGCAACGCGATGAGCGTTGCTGCGCCTAGCTGCATTGTTCTGCAAGTAGTGTGCCTGAGATGTTCAGTTGTCAGCACTCTTCAACTCGTCTCGTTAGGTCACCTTTCGCGTGCAAAAAACGGAGTCTGTTGTCACCGTGCGAAGCTCAGTTCCCAGCGCCACACACATGGCTTGGTTCTTGTGCGACACAGGAGGAGACCTGCCAAACTCCGAAAATTAGCAGGAAGGAGAAGGCCAATCAGACCCGATTCTTTGCAGGTTTGGAAGGCACGCCTGCAAACAGGAAGCTGTCATCGAGGCTTATCTTGCCAAGCACAAACTGCAGGAGCCCAAGTGTCTACCTGTTGCGCAGCGGTGTCCGTGGATGCAATGTGCAGCTCGGCAGGCATGATTTCATGAAGGAAGTGTTTCAGGGACTGACGAAGGAACAGCCCGAGGACAGACATGGCACAGCCTGGCCACTCATGGTAGTCAACGCATGGCTCTGCAGTCTTGACAGGACCCCTTTGTCTACATTGCAAGGCTCTGCTAGACTCTGTGGAAGAAGCTTCAGCTTCCAACGCATGGCAGCCAGGCGCTTGCAGGATGCGGCTCAGAAGGATGCGGGATGCGAGGTGCGCTCGCATCGGAAGCTCCCCTAAGAGCCGCCAATCTAATCGTACTCTCGGGAGCACTCTTTGCTCTCTTAGCTTGTGCTAGGACACTCAGGACACGGCGGCAGCGAGCTGTGTGCAGAGCTTTGTTGACATGATGTGCTTTTCAAGGTGGACCTACCTTCTGTTTGGCGTGTTTGCCCTGATGAGCTTGAAGAGTCCGGAGCGATCCTCAGTGGTGGTTGCATGCTTCTTGCAGCTTGGGTGTTGCCAGAACTGATGGGTGACACAACTCGGACACTGGTTTGCATAGAACTTTCGGGCATGTCTTTGCACAGTTAACAGTCTGGCTGGTTGCTCCTTGTGTTGCTAGCACAGGAACTCTGTTTAATTGCTACGATCCGGCTGATGGTAAACGGTGTGCTGTAACCAGCGCTTTCTTGTAGCTGCAACTCATGTGGCAAGGTTCAGTCCTGCAGACAGTAGGAGACGTCACGCCTCCGCCGCAGGCTCATGTGTTGTCATTGCGCAACCGCTTGCAAGAGCTTATGATGCTCGACACTTGCTTGACAGGATGCTGCGCAGCAGAAGTCTGCGACCATGCAGAGGCCAGAGACATTGGCACAAGGTTACAGGGCATCTTTTCGTCATGTAAAGGCTGCGGCGGAAGGCACGGGAATCGCTGTCCAAGGGCTACTTGGATGGGCGGCTGCAGACTGCTTTGCACAACCTTCCCGCCCGTGCCCCAGTGCTTTGGAAGCGCCACGTCTATCGGAAAAAATGACGGTCACGTCATGCAAGGAGCAGGCGGAAGCTGCATTGCAAGCGGCTGAGCTACTAGCTCGCCATGATGCTGTATTGCCCTTTCCCGGAGACTGGCTAACAACTTTCCAGGCTGCTACCGCAGCAAGATGCCATGCCTTCTGCCGCCAACGCAGTTCCTCAGGCACGGTTTTAGGGACCTGGCTATCATACGAAGATGCCCTAGTCACTTTAGTCGCGTAATGATCAGGCGGAAGAGGATTTGCCAGCGGCTGAACTGCTTGCGTGATGTTGCCACAGCTCCACCGTGGTGCCAAGCACAAGGCCACCGACAAGCCCCGACTTGCCGCCAGATTCTGGGGCAGACGCAGCTTTGGGCGACAGTGCTGTGTCTCGGCAACAATGGGGTGACGCTATCGACGGTGACCGCCTGCCTGCTCTGGGTCAAAGTCCTTACATGTAGCAAGATGTAGCAAAGAGCTGAGGCAAGACCAGAGCAGCCTCAGGTTGTGCCATCAGCCTTGCAGAGGCTCGCTGTCAGCGGAAAGTTTGACAAACGTTTTGATGCTTCAGCACGTCAAGGCTGCGGCGGAAGGCACGGGAATCGCTGTCCAAGGGCTACTTGGATGGGCGGCTGCAGACTGCTTTGCACAACCTTCCCGCCCGCGCCCCAGTGCTTTGGAAGCGCCACGTCTATCGGAAAAAATGACGGTCACGTCATGCAAGGAGCAGGCGGAAGCTGCATTGCAAGCGGCTGAGCTACTAGCTCGCCATGATGCTGTATTGCCCTTTCCCAGAGACTGGCTAACAACTTTCCAGGCTGCTACCGCAGCAAGATGCCATGCCTTCTGCAGCCAACACAGTTCCTCAGGCACGGCTTTAGGGACCTGGCTATCATACGAA